ATATGTTCTGAATTTATTTTAGGCACAATGTATGCATGTACTATGGAGTATCGTGTCCCTTAATAACGATTTTAACCTTACATGACTCTATGCATACACTTACATAATTTATATAGAAATTTCTCTGCGTGGAAATTCATGTCTCAATCGTAGAATTTTTTTGTAAGGGTGCATGTTTTTGCTTCTGCCTAACCTTTCTAACCTTTCGAGTTTCGGGGAAAGGGTGAAAGAAAAAAATATAAAAGGGCAGTGTCTCGAATTTATTATTAATTGTCGCTTTATTAGTGATTTTATTTTTTGCATTATTCGACTTATATTAACAAAAACTATGTCCAACGACGCATATCCTAAACTTTACAATTTTTTATTAACTGCCGAAGAAGAAAAAATTACTGCTGGATCAGTCATTTATCAAGCTATAGAAGACAATCCGTGGATAGAAAAGAATGAGTTGAGAGATATTATAGAAGAGGCGGTATCATTCGTTAATAAAGCCTATCTTGAGATTTTGCCAGAAGTAAGCCAATAATTTATTTTTCAAGAGATATAAAGTTGGTTCAGATGATGAATAAGTAGATAGTGGTACAATTCTGAGGAAACAAGCATAGCAGTTTAACATCCCATAGTCCGCCTACAGGAAATTTCCTCGACTGCGTGAGGGATGCTTAAGCTGTAGGTCGACCTATGCTTTGTTCTATAGTACCACGCATTGTCTTATCTGTGTGGGGGCCGCACATAGATAGGCTTTGTTTATATTCTGAAACCGCATGCGTTTTGTGGGGATTCATTTTTAATATCAATATAAACTGATTAAATCTATTTTTGCGTTAGTTCGAAATTTCTCACAAAACCGTATGTAGTTTACGTGACATTGGAGTAGTGAAGATAAGCAAAGAGATGCCTCTTGATTTGGATCAAATAGTTGATAATATAAAAAAGTTAAAGGGGAAGCTCAAACAAAATAAAAAATCGTCGCTATGTCAGGAATTATTTTCAAGTTTGAGAAATGTGGATATTTCAGCACTGACATGGAAGGATTTTTTAGCCAATCAGATCATCAGCGACGATTCAATACTACTGCAACAGCTAACGCCTCAATCACAAGAAGATTTTATGGAACTAAAACGTAAAATGTCTCCCCCACCTCTTCCACCAAAAATACGAAGAAAGTGCAGTGAGTTTGTAGTAGCTTTTAATGAGAATCATCAAGTCGAGTTAACGCAAAGAATTAAACATGATGGGACTTGGAAGGAATCAGAAAAACAGCTTGCGAAAGTTACAGATAGAATTTTAGATACGTTGTAAGTATTATTTGTGAAATTTTGACATATATATATTTGTTAGCTTACAATTTCTCTATTGGCATTAGGAGAGATACTTGGAATAATCCAGCGTTTAGCCCCGAGTTCGCAGGGTTTCTAAGCGAAGGCACTTATGTAAATAATATCATACTACCCGCCATACGAGCTGTATTGAAGGGCCTTCCTCTAGAAAAATCGACTTTTGTCAGCAGTTCTGAACTTCAAAGTAGTGCAAGCGCGGATAGGAAGGGCGAGGGGCGATCGGGGAGAAGACCAGATATAATGTTTATTACGATGCGTGGTGAAAAGAATTATGAATTGCTGTATGCTGAGTGTTCACGATTGACCTGTACGGCGCAAAAGGAACGACATGATGCAGTAAAATTGTGGAGGGAGTGTAATGACGGGATGTACTGGGCTCGTAAAAGTTCTAGACCCAATAAGGATGAATTTGGAATTGTTGGCGTACAAATAGCGGGAACTACGATACGTTTGAATGTTCTTATTAGGGATAGTGCAAACGTTCATCGTTATTATCACTTACGTGAGGCGGAAATACCAATTCGACAGTCAAATCCTATTATTGTTGCAAATTTTATAGAAGTCCTATTAATATTACGAAATATTTTAATAGTTAATATAGACTTGCTATATAATGCATTAATACCTAGGACGCTCAGAAAAGTGGAAGATAGTTCTACGGTATCTTCTCCACGTAGAGAAGGGGAACAAAAAAGAACAAGAAAGGTAAGTGATGAAAATCCTCGTTTGCGTGAAGGCAGGAGTTTAAAGAAGAAAAAAAGTGCAAGGTTTTAGAATATATATCCTGTCCTGCATTTTGATTTTTTGTTGTTTCAATAAAGCCGACCTGGTATGATTTCGCATACATAATCTGTTTACTTTTGCATGTGTATTTCGTGAATTTATTTTATTGTATTATTATCGATGTATATTAACTCGTATATGATCGAGAATTTTTAAAATTTTTCCTGGCATTTTTTGGCAGAACATTGTTCTGTGAAATTTCATCACATGACTTCTGGTTTGGTTCTCTCGAAAAGATATCTTATAAAAATAATTG